TCGCCTATAACGTCTTGTGAGACCCAACCATTACCCATAGGTTCGCCTATAACGTCTTGTGAGACCCAACCATTACCCATAGATTCGCCTATAACGTCTTGTGAGACCCAACCATTACCCATAGGTTCGCCTATAACGTCTTGTGAGACTCAATCATTACCCATAGATTCGCCTATAACGTCTTGTGAGACCCAACCATTACCCATAGGTTCGCCTATAACGTCTTGTGAGACTCAATCATTACCCATAGATTCGCCTATAACGTCTTGTGAGACTCAATCATTACCCATAGGTTCGCCTATAACGTCTTGTGAGACCCAACCATTACCCATAGGTTCGCCTATAACGTCTTGTGAGACTCAATCATTACCCATAGGTTCGCCTATAACGTCTTGTGAGACCCAACCATTACCCATAGGTTCACCTATAACGTCTTGTGAGACTCAATCATTAACCCTAGATTCAAGTATCCCGTCGCGTGACACACAATCGTTGCCCTTAGTTTCATGTTTTTTCTTCACATCTTATAAAACCACACGACTGGTTTAGAAATTCGATATCATGTTTTAAGTTGACTTATTTATCAACTATTGTAAATATCTGTTAGAAACATTATGATGCATTGTTTGACACTCGAATTTGTTTTGTAACAACTATTACAAGAAGTTGGAATAGAAAGGAAAGAAAATTCTGAAAATCAAGTTTGATTGTACTCAAGCACGAACTTCATCTTATTTATTAGGCTAACATGGACCTTTTGTTTCGCTACTTGATACTTTTATGCCACAGAACGAACGTTTCTTGTATTTTCTGTGAGATATAACTTTCTGCTACAATATACTACACTGAAGTACCCTGATCACATACTTCTGTCCTCACTTGGCTGAATTTATAACAAGTTTCAGCTCATCTATCTAGTTAATCATGGCAACTTCATGTTCAACTATTAGTGATAATATATTTGGTATTTCCAACCTGAACAGCAATATTTGCGACACATGAATTAAATGGTCAGGTCTTCCTGATTTAAAACTGTTGACAAAGAAGAAGGGCAACTACTCAGCAGCACCCGCCGCTTTTGCAGCTACTCGAATAGCGATATTGACACTTATAGTTACAGCGCCCTTATAGCTAAGTGTGCGGAGCATGTTTAACAATGTCTCGTGGTTTGAATCTTGGACTTTCTTATCCGCAATCTGGACACTAACACCATGCCATGCCTCCCCCCCTAAAAAAAAAGAGGTTAAATTATTTAGGTTTAGATTTATAATATTGAACTAAATATCTTACATAATTTGAATGTTACCTTAATATGGCATTGAGAAGTTTCTGGCATTAACGACAGATATCAATAAAAAACTGCTAGCTGAAGCACCTGTTTTTTTGTTTGTTTTTTAACAATTACGAATTTTCGTGCACACGTTCTTCGTGACGTGTAAGTAGACGTAATGAATTCGTTTTATTTCAATAATTGTTTTAACACAGTTTTCTCAACTCCAGAGTTTTATAATATTGTTTTTATTAACGCGCTTCACATTAACCCTCAAATGACCGATCTACTACGTTTACTACGGGAAGGGTCCACACATTGTATCACATTAAGCTATTTTATATATTTGTTATTACAAAACTCCGTGTAACGTATTGATCAAAAAGATAAGTGAAATTTATCGTTTTTTGTGTGTAAAAATGCATAGCAGATCCCGGCGGTAATAAATTAATTGCAATGTTTTTAGTATTTTTGTTTAAACTTTCTTTTTGTGTAACATATTGTTACGTCTCCGTTTGTTAATTGATTTTTCCGTAACT